TTTGTGATCACATAGAGCTGTGGCATATAACAGGTAGCTGTGGTCAAATTCCAAGGAGAAAGTTTGATGTACATTAAAAAATAATTTTTGCAGTATTTTAGCCTTTAGAAAAATGTATCTATATTTTAACTGTCATATAAGCTATAAGCCATGGTTTTCAAAAAAGCAAAATCAGAACTGTTAATAGAAACAGAAGAAAAAGAATCTGAATGGGAGCAGTTCCTGTATTTTCTGTCTGGAAGAACATAGGGAATGAAACACCAGATCAGATGCCGTTTTTAAAGTAGCAGGTTGAGTCAGAATAAATGAATACTTAAAAAAAACATATCTTTATATCTTTAGTGGAGCATTAAGATCTAGGTACCCTTCATTGCTGCCCACAGCCTCACTCACTTCAACAACAAAGTTCTGTATCAAAGTGATTAGCTGCTGGACATTTCAGCATATTAATATGACATTCTAATTAATCCAAATAAGGAGCACCATTGCTCTTAGGAGCTAATGATCACAAGAGAGTCATGATTAGTCATGTCAACTTAGGAAATTTCATCAGTTCTCATGCTACTTATAGAAATAAATTGTCAGAAAGCAGCAGTCCTTGAAAAAGGAGACAACTGTTTATCACCATTTCAGATAGAATCAAAACAAATTGCAATGGCACAAAATAAAGAGAGATGAAAAAGATGAGCAGGAGTCAAATCAGAAGGAAGGGATTATTAGCCTCTACTTTGTATCCTGTGGTAGCAGCTTTATATCCCAACTGTCATATGGTCTGAGGTGTCCAAAAGTACTCCTCACCATTGGCAGCTCCGCACATCTGCTGTATGCTCATCATCTGAGCTTTTCCTGTCACTTGAGAGGAAGGTGAAACTAGCTGGTCACCCCAGATGTGCCTTTTAGGATGTTATCTAATTCACCAAGATAGAAAAGTGAACATAGTTAAAGGGTAATCAAATGAATATCAAAAATTTTCAAATTATACTTTATAAAAAAGATAACAGTAAGAACTTTATGCTAAACCGTGTTTTTAGTAACTTTTAAGTTATGAAAGCCTCATATTCTCAAAAAAAATTGATGTGTATTATACATGAAATGTATAATTTATTGTGCTAACTGAATTTTTAAAGTTTAGAAATGTGTTCCATGTTTTAACGTAATATATGGCTTTTTAACATGGTGGACATTAAATCAGTGAAATTCAGAGTGCAGTACTTAATTTCATTTTCTTAGGCTTTTCTTTAAATTAAGGTATGATTGATATACACTCTTATGAAGGTTTCACATGAAAAAACAATGTGGTTACTACATTTACCAATATTATCAAGTCCCCACCCATACCCCAATGCAGTCACTGTCCATCAGTGCAGTAAGATGCCACAGATCCACTATGTGCCTTCTCTGTGCTACCCTGTTCTCCCCATGATCCCCCACACCATGAGTACTAAGCGTAATACCCCACAATCCCCTTCTCCCTCTCTGCCACCTGCCCTCCCACACCCCTCCCCTTTTGTAACCACTAGTTCATTCTTGGAGTCTCTGAGTCTGCTGCTATTTTGTTCCTTCAGTTTTGCTTCAGTGTTATACTCCACAAATGAGGGAAATCATTTGGCATTTGTCATTCTCCACTTGGCTTATTTCACTGAGCATAATGTCCTCCAGCTCCATCCATGTTATTGCAAATGGTAGGATTTGTTTCTTTCTTATGGCCGAATAGTATTCCATTGTGTATATGGAGCACATCTTCTTTATCCATTAATCTACTGATAGACACTTAGGTTGCTTCCATATCTTGGCTATTGTAAAAAGTGCTGTGATAAACATAGGGGTGCATATGTCTTTTTGAATCAGAGAAGTTGTATTCTTTGGGTAAATTCCACAGAGTGGGATTCCTGGGTCAAATGGTATTTCTCTTTTTAGTTTTTTGAGGAACCTTCATATTGCTTCCCACAATGGTTGAACTAGCATCAGTGTAGGAGGGCTCCCCTTTCTCCTCATCCTCACCAGCATTTGTTGTTCTTAGTCTTTTCGATGTTGGCCATCCTTACTGGTGTGAGGTGATATCTCATTGTGGTTTTAATTTGCATTTCCCTGATGATTAGTGATGTGGAGCATCTTTTCATGTGTCTGTTGGCCATCTGAATTTCTTCTTTGGAGAACTGTCTCTTCATATCCTCTGCTCATTTGTTAAATGGGTTACTTGCTTTTTGGGTGTTGAGGCATGTAAGTTCTTTATATATTTTGGATGTTAACCCTTTGTCAGATATGTCATTTACAAATATATTCTCCCATACTGTAGGATGCCTTTTTGTTCTGTTGATGGTGTCCTTTGCCATACAGAAAATTTTTAGTTTGATGTAGTCCCTTAAGTTCATTTTTGCTTTTGTTTCCCTTGCTTGAGGAGATTCATTCAGGAAGAAGTTGCTCATGATTATATTCAGGAGATGTTTGCCTATGTTCGTCTTCTAAGAGTTTTATGGTTTCATGACTTACATTCAAGTCTTTAATCCATTTCAAGTTTACTTTTGTGTATGGGGATAAACAATAATCCAGTTTCATTCTCTTGCATGTAGCTGTCTAGTTTTGCCAACACCAACTGTTGAAGAGGCTGTCATTTCCCCATTGTATATCCATAGCCCCTTTATCCTATATTAATTGACCATATATGCTTGGGTTTATATCAGGGCTCTCTAGTCTGTTCCATTTGTCTATGGGTCTGTTCTTGTGCCAGTACCAAATTGTCTTGATTACTGTGGCTTTGTAGTAGAGCTTGAAATTGGGGAGCATAATCCTCCCGGCTTTATTCTTCCTTCTCAGGATTGCTTTGGCTATTCTGAGTCTTTGTGGTTCCATATGAATTTTAGAATGATTTTCTCTAGTTCATCAAAGAATCCTGTTGGTATTTTGATAGGAATTGCATTGAATCTATAGATTGCTTTAGGCAGGATGGCCAGTTTGACAATATTAATTCTTCCTATCTATGAGCATGGGATGAGTTTCCATTTATTGGAATTTTCTTTAATTTCTCTTAAGAGTGTCTTGTAGTTTTCAGGGTATAGGTCTTTCACTTCTTTGGTTAGGTTTATTCCTAGGTATTTTATTCTTTATGATGCAACTGTGAATGTAGTTTTCCTGATTTCTCTCTCTGCTAGTTCATTGTTAGTGTATAGGAATGCCACAGATTTCTGTGTATTAATTTTGTATCCTGCAACTTTGCTGAATTCAGATATTAGATATAGTAGTTTTGGAATGGATTCTTTAGGGTTTTTTATGTACAATATTATGTCATCTGCAAACAGGGATAGTTTAACTTCTTCCTTGCCAGTCTGGATGCCTTTTATTTCTTTGTGTTTTCTGATTGCCATGTCTAGGACCTCCAGTACTATGTTGAATAGAAGTGGGGAAAGTGGGCATCCTTGTCTTCTTCCCAATCTTAAAGGAAAAGCCTTCAGCTTCTTGCTGTTATGTATGATGTTGGCTGTGGGTTTGTCATATACGGCTTTATTATGTTGAAGTACTTGCCCTCTATACCCATTTTGTTGAGAGTTTTTATCATGAATGGTTGTTGAATTTTGTCAAATGCTTTTTCAGCATCTATGGAGATTATCATGTGGTTTTTGTCCTTCTTTTTGTTGATGTGGTAGATGATGTTGATGGATTTTTGAATGTTGTACCATCCTTGCATCCCTGGAATAAATCCTGCTTGATCATGATGGATGATCTTTTTGATGTATTTTTGAATTCAGTTTGCTAATATTTTGTTGAGTATTTTTGTGTTTCTGTTCATCAGAGATACTGGTGTGTAATTTTCTTTTTTTGTGGTGTCTTTACCTGGTTTTGTTATTAAAGTGATGCTGGCCTCATAGAATGAGTTTGGAAGTATTCCCTCTTCTTCTACTCTTTGGAAAACTTTAAGGAGGATGGGTATTAGTTCTTTTCTAAATGTTTGATAAAATTCAGCAGTGCAGCCATCTGGTCCATGGATTTTGTTCTTAGGTAGTTTTTTGATTACCAATTCAATTTCGTTGCTGGTAATTGGTCTGTTCAAATTTTCTGTTTCTTCCTTGGTCAGCCTTGGAAGGTTGTATTTTTCTAGAAAGTTGTCCATTTCTTCTAGGTTTTCCACTTGTTAGCATATAATTTTTTATAGTATTGTCTAATAATTCTTTGTATTTCTGTTGTGTCCTTAGTGATTTTTCCTTTCTCATTTCTGATTCTGTTCATGTGTGTAGACTCTTTTTTCTTGATAAGTCTGGCTAGGCATTTATCTATTTTGTTTATTTTCTCAAAGAACCAGCTCTTGCTTTCATTGATTCTTAGTACTTAATTTCTTAAAAATTCTTCTTTATAAAAATATGCATGGTGGATTTTTAAAAACTCTATAAAATACATGTAATGTGACTGGACATAAGTTTCACTAATTTACAGAGAAAGAAAGTATTCACTGAAGAAAAAATTAAAACATCTCCTCTTAAAGAGTAAACAAGTCCCTTCTCAAAGTGATTTGAATCCCAACTGGCTCAAAATCAGGAATCACATATCCTAGGACTGACTTGGTCAAACTTTTTCTGATAGCTTGGCTGAAAAGATGTGCTCCTCTGTTGCAAATGCTTCTAAGCAGTGATTCGAGCAAACACTGACAATAATGAAGCTTTTTGATCTATGGTGGAGAATGGGAACTGTGGCAGCTTTATAAATTGACCACTGCAAATTCTCTGAAATTTTCTCATTAATAAGTGGGGGTCCATGTCCCCCATCCAGGGAAATCTTAGGGGACTTGTGACAACTCAGAAGGAAGTGGTACTGTGCATCTTCTGCGGCTGGGTTTCAGACAGCCATGTAGTTTCTACCTGGTTTTCCTGGAGCCTTGCACTTGGTACATTTTGCCTTGGGTGTACCCTCTTGGGACCTAGCTCTCATGCTGTGGGAAGCCCTTGCCACATGGAGAATACACACATGGGTGCTCCAGTGTATAGTTTCAGTCTGTGTGTGATTCTGATCAGGTGCCAAACATATGGTGAAGATGACTCCATGATTCCAGCCACTTGGGCCTTTCCAGTTGAGGAGGACTCAGATCTTGTGGCCAGAGACAAGTCTTCCTCTCGTCTCTGTTCTCACTCCTGAACCACAGAACCATGAACATCATAAAATATTTTCTATTTTGTGCCACTAACATTAATCTATTATACAGCCAAAGATAACCTAAAAATATCATAGAGAGAATTCCTCATATTAATGTATTTATAATTTTGTGTATAGTTCACTTTATCTTCACTGCTTACACACGGAGAACGAGTTCAGAAAAATTAAATAACTTTCCTGAGATCACTCTCCTTTTAACTGGAGGAACTAAAATTTAAAACCAGGTTTGCCCGTATTTGAAGGCCATTTTTGAAGTATTGACTTTTCTCAGTTGTGTTTATAAAAGTTGAAAAAAGGAGCCATCCTCTTTAATGGTTATTTTAATGTTTCTGAAGCTCAGTATCCTAGACACTGTCAAACATGATTCAAATGAACATTCCATCACTTCAGTCAAAAAATACTTTTGTCTATTCTAGAGAGAGGGGAAGTTGCTGAGTTAATATTTCACTTAGTCTGGTATCTGACTTTTAGTAGATGCTTATGATGTGCTTGTTGAAAGGATAAATAAATAAATTAATTAATTAACCAGCACCTATCAACATAGTAGCAGAGTTCCTTGAGGAACTTTGTAAGAAACTGACTGATGCCTTCATAGAACAATCTAATAACCTTTCATTATATTTACTTATTTTCTGCTCTACTTATTGTAAGATAAGAAGGATATATAATTCTTTCATTACTTCAAACTAGTAAGGTTCCTTATTTAAGTGGACATTTAATGCTTTTTGATGATGCCTTAGCCTAGAAAGCATAGAATGGAGGTGCAGAATGGATCAGGATTCATAAGCCATTTACACAAAATGAACTTGAAATTACTGCACAGTAAGAATAAGTGTCTTTCAAGTTTCATAAGACTACTGGAACATTAAGAAAAGGCAAGATACAGGAAGTGTTAGAAGTTAAATTTCTTTATAAGAAAAGAGTCTCTTTGTTAATGTTATTATCATTACAATATTGCCACCTCTAAAGAAACAGTATTAATGTATTGATAGATTTTCAACACTGATGTTTCTCTCTGATACTAAAAGTCAGATAAACAAAAATAAAAGTATAAACCAATACAACCAGTTTAATACACCTTATAATATCAATAGCTAAATTATTAGGCAAATGATGCTTTTAAGTGAAAAGTAGGCTCAGGAAGTCATAGGGGATAGTAAGGTTAAGCATTTAACTTACAGGAACCTGACCTATTCATCTCAGATTCATGATTAATCAAACTCATATTGATTTTATTTCATAATGGATTACCTTGGCATTCTGAGATTTCATAGGGGAAATTCTTTCTTAAAGAAATGGGCAAAACAATTATTTTAAAAAATTTTGGTCTAGAAAAGAAAGGTCTTTAATTTCTGTTACTGGAATGTGCAGTTTGATGTTTTCTGAAGACCTTTTGCTAATTATAAGTATTACTTGCAAATATAGTCTATCAAACAAATATTAGCACATTAATTAGGTAGCTCTGGCAAAGTTTCAGCTCTCATTTTTTTTCTCTAAAAAGCATTTATAAAAACATGGTTGTTTTATGATATGACTATGTGGCAATACATCTTCAAATATCTTTCATACATTTTTCAAGAGTCTACTATATGGTTGGCACTGGATCTATAATGGTATGCAAAGCAGAAATCCTGACCCTGACATCATTTTGGTTATAGTCTGAGGTCCCAGACATTAGTCATTCAAGCAAAGCTGTAAAAAAAGCTTGGAAGGGAGGTGAGAGTATTATTTAGTAGGAGTGTTTTACTCATTAAGCGAGGGCAGAGAATGCTTCACAAGAAATTCTGTATGTAATTAAAATACTGCTTCATGTGGCAGGGTCCAGGTTAACTCCACAACCTTAAGGCTTGAAATTCTTGAAGCATTACAATTTGAACCCAAGTGAGGTTGAAAGTCTGTTTTTCCGCCAGTCTAAGTCCTTCCTCCCCTATTCTCATCTTCTATCTGGGGATCTGTCTTTTCTCAGTAGGATTTAAAGAAGGAAGCATAACCAGTCTTTAAGAAAGATCTTCCTTTACCTGCTACCACCACACCCAACTCATTGTAGTGGTGGGTCCCAGCTGCCACGAGAACAAATTCATCAAGCCACACTCTAATGAGAACACGTTTTGGGTGTCTGCGGTCCAGGCCTGGTTGAGTTTTGTTCTGTTTCTTATAGTCCTTACCTGGGAATGAAGGTCAGAGCTGTGTGTCTTTTCTGCAGTCCTCTTTCTCATGGTTCTTTATTTCTCGTGGGTGGCTTCATTAGTATCTAAGAAGAATAATCCTACATGGAGAACAGAAATATCTTCTGTGAAGCTACAATATCTTCAGAACTATAGCTTGGCTAGAGCAATTGCAGAGCAATTTCAATTATTCTAAATATCTAGATATTTAGACTAAAGTATCTGCAATCAGGATATTCTAGTTTCTCCCAAAATAATGGGTCATATTTGCTTCATATATACATGCTTCATATATATACATATATATATATGTATACACACATGTATATATGTGTACATCAGAAAGGATTGATTAATAGACTTCTCATAAAACAAACTTTTCCTTTAATTTGAATTTGGGTCCATCTTTTACTAAACTGAAATTAAATATGGCTTTTTAAATGATTGTTTCTCCAAGTTCCCACTCATCATGATTCAGAAGTCTTAATGCTATGTTTGAGCCAAGGTACCCATTGTCATTCGCAAAATTATAAATTCTGGTTACCATCTTGAAGAAGAGGAGATACTGATGGACATGTTAAAAAATTGAGTTCCAGGTAACAATACATATTAAACTCTAAAATGCAGACCTTTAAGTTCCTGCATGTGCATGCTATCTTTGCATATTTATGGTGGGAAAAATATGACTCAAGTAATTTAGGTAAAAATTCTTCTTTCATTCTTTCCATATTTTTATGTAGGCCATGTAAATAAATGAATAACAGATTATATTTTTTGAAGGAGTTTATGTAGACAGATATTTTAAAAAAGAAGTACATGGTATTACAGGTGCTAGGAAAGAAGAATGTAGAGTTTATGGTGAGAGTACCAAGGAGAGGGCTGATAATTCTACTAGGGATCAAAATTTTAGGACCATGACAAGTTAATTGAGGAGATATTTTTAAATTAAGCATGATTTTAAAAAGATGAACATTATCAAGTTTGCTTTTCAATATTGGAAGTAAATATCAAATGCCTATTTGATATTTTAATCCCTCACTGGCTTCCTCCTGCTACCTGCACATATCAGCAGCCCCTCCCACAACAAACATTTTCTGCCCTACACAGTGAACCTTGTCTCAATTTTAGCATGAATTAAAGAAAATAGAGATGATGAATCAACCACCAGAAGGTCACATCAAGGTATTCTAGAAACAAATGAAAGTGACTTTTACTTAATAAACTTTTATATTCATGCACTGGCTTTCCTCCATTAAAAGTAAATATTCGGAACGATTATGATTTAACTAAAAAGTAATAATAACATTTTGAGTTTCCCAATTTATTTTTGATTAATGTCTGAAGACATTAGGTTTCATATTTTCCTTAATTCCAATAAAAACTGTTTTCCTTACTTTCTGACAATGTCTTTTCATAAGATACAAGATAGATTACAAATGATTTTCTGTTGTGCTGTGTAATTTTAAAAAATGATACTCAATTTTCCAAGTAAAAAACATGGGTTTTTAATATTTTTTTCCACATAACTGTGTCACTCATAATTTTAGTACTTGCTGTGACAGTTCGTCAAAAAAAAAAGGGGTGTGGATTTTGCTTCTGTGGGGAAGTTGGGGTTCCTATGGACAGGATCCTCACTGAACTTAAACCACCTGATGATGTAACTGGCCTGTTGCTAGGCTATTGCTTCCACACCCATAGGCAATAAGCTATTATTGCGCTACATAAAGAGCTTGGCCCAGTGCTCTGGGCGGAGGCAGAGACGCTAGTGCTCAACCTACCGCCAGAGAACAAGCCAGGCAATAAACCCTTTCACCTCAAGAACGTTTTGCTGTCAATTCCTTTGGTCACACTGAATCCATAGCGAACTTGCCCAGGGCTGAAACCCATTGGCAAAACAGCTTCCTAGGAAAAGTTTTAGTTAGAAGAGATGAGTCCACTTGGATTTCAATCAACAGCTGTGCTTTGTACCTGTACCTATTACTGTCCAGTGTTTCTGTCCAGGCACAGTGGTTGGAAAGGAGGAATGTTTCTTCAGTTATGTTTAATTAAGGGGGGCTCCATGTCACAGCTGAGCTCCCAGTGTTACCTAATTGTGGATAAAGTGAAGGATCCTGTGGCTAGGATTCTCACCTGGCCTTGTTTGGCTAGCTCACTACATACATGTGGGCAGTATGTCGTTATTGACTTTATGTAAAGAGCACTGCCCAGTGGTCTGGGCAACACGGTGGCAGGGCTGCAAGGCTGCAGGAAAGCAGAGCAGAGGCTGGAGTGGTGGCAGCGCCAAGGACAGAGGCCTAGAGGATGACTGTGGCTGTGCAGAGAGGCCTAGAGGCAGAGACCCCTTGTTTCATGCAGACTCACTCTGAGTGAACAAGATTTTAGTGATTGACCTGCCACCATGAAAATAAAGTTCAGCCCAAGAACGTTCTGCTGTCATTTCTTTGGTCACATTGAATCCATAGTGAACTTGCCCAGGGCTGAAACCTATTGACAAGATAATTGGTGACAGTCGGCAGGGTTCATTGGTCACCAAGGAAAAGAACAGGCTGACCTCATGGAAGGAGTGCTTCAGCGGGCTGCACCTGTGGACAGGAGACACTCGAGTGTCCCCCTGTGGACATGTGGTACTGTGAAGGGGTGGAGGACTGGGGTCCACCCCAAGAGAAAGAATTTGTTGCTGACTGAAATGGCATCACTACAAAGTGCTCTGGAAATAGTAAAGGATGTCATGGCAGCCCAAGAGAAAGCAGCACGAGAAGGAGCAGTATGGGAGCTCAGTCTGCCAGGTGCCGTGGGGCAGATGAAGGAAGAGGCCCG